GTTTAAAGTACAGTACAGAATGAACAAGATTAAACAAAAGCTTTAAATAGTAACTAAAAGAAAACTCTAGGAGGTTTAAAGTACAGAATGAACAAGATTAAACAAAAGCTTTAAATAGTAACTAAAAGAAAACTCTAGGAGCATTTACAAAGTTTAAGCAGTAAAAATAATAGAGAAAAATTTACAATTTTTAACAGACTATATTAATTAGTGAATTGATATAATTGTTAAAGTAGGTAAATAAGATTAGGTGACAAGATAACAGAAAAAGAGTAAAAGATTTTTTAAACTACTTTTGGGTCTGGAGGCTCTGGGGCTTCCCTGAGAAGGGCAGGCACAGCCTCTGTGGTCGGAGGGGCTGCAGTTGAGAGCACGTGCCTGGTCTGGGTTCCAAGCCTGGGGCACGTGTCCGTGCTGCCTGGGGGGAGTGTGTGTCACCTGGAGGTGGACTGCAGGGACACTGATGTACCTGAGCTGTCTCCCTTCCTCTGCCCTTTGCAGGTGTTTGATGTGCAGAGGAAAGTCACCTACAAGAACCTGAGCGCCTGGTACACAGAGCTGCGCGAGTTCAGGCCAGAAATCCCGTGCATCGTGGCAGCAAATAAAATTGATGGTGGGACCATCCCTGCCCCTGGGTGTCAGGGGTTCATGGGAGACTCAGCACCACACGCTTCCTCCTCCTTTCCTGGGACAGGCGGCCTTTGGTGATCCATCCGCCTTCCCAGGACTGAACCCTCAGTTGCTTGTGTTGCTCCCTTTCTGGGAAAGATGCCAACTGAGTCCGTCTGCCTTTTCCCAGCACACAGAGCCCTGTTAGCTGAGCTCTTTCTAAGACGCACGCCCTGGTCGTCGCTTCCCACGCCACCCACTGGAGTAGGAGCCTCCAGTGACCCACCCTCTGAACCCCTCCCTTTTCCTTGATGGACAGGCTAGTGTCCTACCTTCTCTCCACAGCAGACATAACGGTGACCCAAAAAAGCTTCAGTTTTGCCAGGAAGTTCTCCCTGCCGCTGTACTTTGTCTCGGCTGCTGACGGCACCAACGTCGTGAAGGTAGGTACATGGCAGAGCTGGTGAGGGCAGGGGGCTGGGTGGTAAAATTGCCAGGGGCTTCAGAGGGGTTGCTTGCAGCCCACGCCTCGGCTGCTGGCATGTTGGAGAGAACAGGGCAGCAAGTGGGGGTGGACGACAGCTGGGGGCGCTGAGGTGAGGCAGCACGTCCACCGAATAAGGGGTGATCTGCCGGCTTCAGGGGTGCGCTTCTGTGTGGACTTACGCTGGGGCCGTTGGGCACGGGCCAGGCAGAGTCCAGGACAGTCCCGGCCACTGCCACACCTTCCTTCCCCCAGCTCTTCAGCGACGCGATTCGATTAGCTGTGTCTTACAAACAGAACTCCCAGGACTTCATGGACGAGGTTTTGCAAGAGCTCGAGGTAGGTCAGGCCCACGTCTCAGGTGGGGTAGAAACAACAGCACTCTGCTTCAGAGATGCGAACTGTACCCTGTGTCGTGTTCCTGGCCCCCTTTCCCGGCCCCCTTTCCCATCTGCATGTGTCAGAGCCACAGCTGGTCAAATGCAGGGCCAGGCCTCACCTGCAGTCTTGTTCCCAGAACCTCAAGTTGGAGCAGAAAGAGGAGGACGTGCCAGACCAGGAGCAGAGTGGCAGCATCGAGAGCCCGTCTCCCTCCTGAGGGGTCAGTGGAGGCGGCCTCTGTCTGTGGCTGAACGGGTGGGAGTCGGGGAAGCCCTTTCAGAATGCCCATCCCTTCAGCAGCCCTCCCGCTCTGCGCCTGCGAGCCCACCCATCCCCCTTGCCTCGCACGTCCACGGCCTGTGACCCAGGGATGTGGCCCACGCCAGCAGCCTGCACAGATGTGAGAGGTCAGCGCAGACGCCTGGGAAGCAGGACAGGACGAGTGTCCTTAACACCAGCACCGCCCCACCCCCAGGCCAACCACAGGCCGGACAGTGAAGAGAACTGGGGAATGTGCTTGTGTCTCTTTAATAAAAGGAAATGTAGGTGGTTTATTTTCCCCCAAGTGACCTCGGGGATATTCCTTGCGTTTCCCTGACTGCCCCCTCTCCACCCTGCGGATCTGAGGAGCCTCCGTCCTCCTGCCACGTGGCCTCCCGACATTTTTCCTCTTTATTCTCCCAACTAACCTTTGTAAAAAATGGTCTTGAGAAGAGAGCTATTCAAGTCCAGACTTTTGAGCACCGACTCTGTTTCAGGCCAAGATCATAGGAACAGGTTTGCCGTTAAAATTAAGTAAAAGCAGGTGACAGGTCCAGCTGTGCTGGGAATACACAAGCGTTGTTGTTGGTAAACAAGGGTCGGCACAGCCACAGCACAGGGTACACCCATGTGGGTTACAGGCAGTTGACGAGCTTCCTTCAGAGCCCCCATTTCAGCGTCGGAGGGTCCCCCTCATTTTCTTTAGTTTCCGAGGACTAGTCAGGACATGGTGCCTCCTGCAGTGGCCGGGGGCTGCTGCCTTTCCTCAGCACGTGCTGCGCTGCTGCGTTTTATGAGCACCTTGTGCAGCATTTGTATGTTTCCATTGCTTTTTTTTCATTGTTTTCTTTTTTACAGTAAAGGTCGAATTACATAAGCACAGCATACGTGCATGCTCTGTGGGTCTGAAACGTACTGAGCAAAAGGTCAGCCACATGAATGAGGGAAGACTGCCCTGACCTGTCACAGGGGAGCCTGAGTTAACTCTTGATTTACTGTAGTGGAGACCACTTCGGTGGGATTTAGTGCTTTTGAAAGAATAAGTATTTATTTGGGAGCTCAAGAACAAACACGTTTTCCCTTTAAAGTAGTGATCCAGTGATTTCACCTGACCGGGGTCCTCAGGAATTACCTTGCTGGGGTGGGGTTAAGAGAATACACTTTGATTATAAAAGACTAATGGGTATTTTTTTTAAAAAAATACGGGAGCTTTATTAAGATAGAATTCACATACCATGGGATTCACCATCAATATTGGCTTTACTTAACTATTTTGTATCAGGTTCCCTAGAAGCAGAGCCTGAGAAGGTAATTGTTTGAACGACGTACTGGGGTCGTTCTCTCAGAAGAAGATGAGTCCAAGCAAGGTCAGCTTTGGTCCCCACCCCCACCTGTGGAAGCTCTGGAAGACAGACTGCCCCATGGAGCTGGTCTGACCTCAAGACCAGGGGCCCTTAGTGCCGGTCAGCCAAGTGCATGGGGTGAGGGCAGCTCGCAGCCTCCAGGGCAAAGTGGCTCCTGCTATGCAAGGGCAGCTTCCTGGGGAAAAGGGCAGTTGTAAATGTTTGCCGTCAGCACAAAGCAACTGGAGCACTAATGCTGAGGCAGGGCGCCAACAACGTCAGCAGCCGCACACCCCTGGGCTGCTCAGATCCACCTGTTTAAAGTGCATCCCCTCCAGGCAGAGCTGCTCCAGCATTCCACCTGGTCACAAGTTCTGGAGAAATGTACCTGGAGGGTCAGAGGACAGGGATGAACCGGAGCCCTGCGCTGCAATGGGGCCTGTGCAGGAATGATGCTCATCCCCAACCTCTTCCACCACCAGCCTCTGACCAGCACTTTCTAGGTGATTCACCTGGCAGGATGATCCTGCTCCTTCTGCCTGGGGGTTCTGGGCCCCTGCTTTCGATGCCTTTATAATGCCGTGGTTGTCGTACTTCAGTCATCACAGCAGGACATGGCAGTACCTGAGTGCCAAGTGTATTCCTCCCTGCCTCTCCTGTGTAGCAGTGTCCTTTTCTCCTAATGATCAGGGTCAATTACCTCTTCCTGGAACGCTGACTCCTTCTTTTGGTTTGTCTTTTTTTAGTTAACTAGCACCTGGAGTGTTTTAGGAAGCAGCCGTGGCTTTGTATTTAGTGAAACTTACTGTGTCACTTGGGGGAAATGCCACCGTCACCATCCCCACTCCAAGACCAAGACCTCAACTCGCAGAGCCTAAAGTTACAGACAGAAAGTACAAATTCCCCAAGTGTGTCACTGGAAGTGACAGTGAGCAGGGCACTCCTGTATCTGCCCCTTGGTTACTAGACATATTGGGGACACAACTATGTACTGACCATGGAGTGGTACCATGTCCTGAAGGGCCCCATCCTCACACTGGCACTTCAGCTGCCCCTGAGAGGGCCTCTGGCCGCCCTATTGGAGCAGCAGCTTCTGGAGAATATGGTGCCCACCACTGCAGTTCCTGGGCTGTGACGTTGGTGCGTGGGTCTATGGTCATCTTTCGTGGGATCTGTGCTGGCAAAGCAAACACTGAGGCCATGAGACGGTGCTGGAGGGGGCACCGCGGGCGGGAAAGGCAAACGCATTCCTAGAACACATTTCGACACCGGTCAGCACAGAACGCTGCACTGTCCAGGCTGAAATCGACCAGAGGGAACAATTGGCCACCATATGGTTGGCTGGTCCCTTCAGAGGTGAAACGTGGGGTTCGGGGTTGATATCTTTTGCTGGCAGGTGGATGTGCAGCAGCAGCTGCTGCTCATCCTTGGGGACAGGAGCACAGGCTTCGGGGCCTGCTACGCACGGCCTCTAACTCACACTGGGGTGGCCAAGACTGAGGCTGGCATCTGCTGGGCAGCTCACCCCGTCCGCCTGGATGTTTAGTGCTTCTTGCACAGTGACGTTCCCCAGTGCTGTCAACCCACAGAGCACCCTCTTCCTTTGTGCCCAATCCCTCGCATCCATCCTTAAGCTTTTCTCCAGACTTCCTTTCTATTTTTTACTTTTTTTTTTCCATCAACAAATAGGAATTGTGTATATTTATCGTCCTGCAGACTTTCTTGTACCTGACCTCTCTGATCTTGCTCCTTTCAGGCCCCCAACCAGCCAGCCGAGCGGCTCGCTAGACCCCTGCGCACCCTAGCTCGGGCCATTTCCCTCTGCATGGTGGGCCTGGCCTGTTGCAGTGCCTGAAGCTCTGCCCCTCGGGAGGATTTCCACTCCCCACCATCTTCAGGTCATCCCTGAGTGGGGCCTCAGCCACAACTGAGCTGACCCAGACCAATAAACCTCTAAAAATGACCCCGATGTGCCGGGCTCCAGAACACGCGCAGGGCTTATCTTCCACCATCTGGAGTGCTTGTGTCTTATCAAGGCGTCCAGAGAACTCAGCACTTCTTGATAACCAGGCCGGTAAACCTGAGGTTATCAATACAGTGGACTAATATGACGTCCTATGGGATGACAAGATGGCCCAGCTATCTTAAGATTATGTTATGATGGAGAGTAGGAGAATTAACATAGCCTCAGGGCAGAGCCAGGAGTGTAAACAGTTACCCAGTTGTTGGTCTTACGTGAATGCAAACTGCTTCTGATCCTTCTTCCTGACAGGTATGGAAAAGAATGCATTTTTCAGATTAATAATTGCACAGCATGTTTACAAGTTTCTGTTAATCTACTCTAATAAAGATGCCACATACTGCACAATGGCTGCAATCAAGGCTACTACTGTGTTAAGTTGGGGGGAGTCCACTGTCATCCCGTATGATTCAATCATTTTTTTCAAGGGCCAAATTAAGTGGGCAAATTTAATAGGAATATAATGAGGACCACCACCACCCTGAACTTTTACAAAAATAATTTATTGAGGTGAAATTGACATAACACTAAATTAACCATCCAGTGCCATTCAGTGTAGTCCCAGTGCTGTGCAACTACCACCTCTGTCTGTCTAGTCCCAAAACATCTCCATCTCTAAAGTAAAACCCTCACTAATTAAGCAGTTTCTTCCAAACCCCCCTCCCTCAGCCCCTGGCAACTACCAGCCTCCATTCTGTCTCCATGGACTTATCTACTCTGGATATTTCATATAAATGGAATCACAGAATATGTGTGACCTTTTGTGTCTGGATTTTTTTCACTTAGCCTAATGTTTTCAAGGTTCATCTATGTAGCATGTACTTCATTCCTTTTTGGTGGCTGAATAATACTCTCTCATATGTATATTCGACAATTTCTTTATCTGTTGATGGACATTTGAGCTCTTTCCAACTTTTAGCTATTGTGAATAGTAATAAACATGCGTGCGTGTGTGCTTGTGTGAGCATCAGTCCGTTCGTTTGGGTGTCTTAGTCTGCTCACGCTGCTGTTAACAAAATACCATAGACTGGTGGCTCACAACGGAAATTTATTTCTCACATTCATTTCTCACAGTTCTGGAGGCTGGGAAGTCCTAGATCAAGGTGTCAGCAAGGCAGGTGTCATTCTGAGACCTGTTTCTCAGCTAGTACATGGCCACCATCTTGATGTGTGCTCATGTGACCTTTTCTTGAGAGATCTCTCTCTCTCTTCCTCTGATGAGGCCACACATCCTATTGGATTAGGGCCCACCCTTATGACCTCATTTAACCTTATTTACCTCTTAAAGATCTTATTTCCAGATACAGTCACTTCAACATATGAATGGGGGGCATAATTCAATTCATAGCTGGATGTACAGCTAAGAGTAGAACGAGAGAGTCCCACTGCAGGGTCATGTTACAGGTTAATATTCTACATTTAACCTTTTCAGAAACTACCAAACTGTCTTCCACAGTGGACCCACCATTTCACAGTTCCCTGGGCATTTGCTCTCACAGGCTTCTTTGTTCTGCACCACATGCTGTACAAGTACATAAACGCTGGTATTTTACCGTGAGGATTATGTTTCTCAAACTAGGACTTGATTTTTCACCCATACTTATATTCACTTTATTTCCATCATAAGACCTTTCTAGTGGTATATTTTAGAAAGCATTGAAAGAGTTTTCAATTAACATATTACGTGAAAAACTATCCTGATTTTTTTTTTAATGAATCTTTTTAGTACCATGGTATGGTGGGCTTAATTTAATAGCTGAAGCATAATATAGTAACTATATTATAATGTTTAAACTAACTCACAGCTATGGGAAAATGTTTAAATTTTTAAATATAACCAAGATGCGACTGCATAGTTATGTGCAGTAAAATATTAGAAAACAGTAAACAAATAAGATGATTTTTCATCAGTGGCAATTCATTATTTTGCCTTTACGAACCTGGA